TGGACCGTTTTTCGCGCCCCGGAAATCGAGCATGTTGCCGCTGCTTCGGAATAGAATCAGCTGATTACATATCAAGGTGAAACAGGCGTGCCTTGTGCGATACTTTTCCTTTTTCAAGAGAAACTCCAATCTCGAGGTAGCTTCCGGGGGTGTAAATGCAATTTATATGTGGATTTTGATTTTTTTTTTATTAACAAATCTTGAAACACCACATGGGCAAGGTAGGGGAAATGTCCATCCGTAATGGGCCCCATGTGAACCCTGTAACAGATTTTTCGCCACCTACGATTGGACCCGTGCCACCCTTCGCAGGCCTCACCCCTCTCCTCGCAAACTTCACGCCTCTATGGGGTGTCGGTCGATCCCAATTAGACTGCCGGGTATCCGGGATCGGAAGCGAACGATTTTCCGTCCCCATACACCGGAAAGTCCCAGCCAGATGGTTATTATTCCAGCCCGTTCCGCGGATTAAGTTCCCGTCGCGGAGAGCCCTCGCAAATCCGGATTATCCGCGTGGAGGTGAGCGTCGGTAAATGTACAGTGACAATCCGTTCGTGGGGGCCCGGGGGATGATCGAACGAAGGGAGGATACCCTTGGAACTTGGACAATAAATTCGGCGCTAAGTGAATCGCGGGAGGGGTGCATTGTGCCCAGGTGCCCGCGGTCCTCCTTTTTGTCAGCCGGTCGCCAAGGAGTTGACGCTTAACTCGATTACCGAGCAGAAGAAATAACCCCGAATAATCTCGTTAGGGGCGTCCTCATCTCGCCTGGGCGTCTTAACAAGGGGAGGACCCCCCGCGGACGGTCTTAAAGTTCCCCTGTTTCTTGCACCTTTTTTACCCTCCTCCCTCCGTATCCGAAATGGCCAAAAATTTGACGCGGGTATCCGGCCGTCCCGGGGAGGGGGCTTACAATTTTCGCCGCGGAATCGCGTCCGGTTTTGACGGGTGGAGGGGTAGATCAGCGATATGCGTCGCTATGCATATACGAGATACCGCGTATAACCGCTTGCACGCGAGGCGGAGGAAAGCTCACGGGACCGTAGGAGAATTTCGGGGCAGACAATCGGCCGGCACTCGTAAACGCAGCGGGCGAGTGGAGTCCTCCTTTCTGGCCGGAGTTGCCGAAATAATTCCGCCCGAAATCCCCGCGGGCGCGGCGCCCTGACGTTTCGCCGGGCGAAGTATTACGGCCCTGATAATCCGACGAGAGTTCGTGCGAGAGGATTTTGCAAAATAATACGAAGTAACGGGGGAGAGTCCCCGAATGGCGGCGGAGTCGGGGAGCCTGGGGGTGGCCGCGCCGGAAACGGGACGGCGTATCGCGAGCCCGCGTTTTCCGCGTGCGGATAATCCGCGGGGGTGGCGCGAGTACGCGCCAGGGTGGCTTCGTCCGACCATCGAGACCGTGAAATACCTGATAAAATGACGAGTCAATTCCAGCCTCCCCCTAACTCCGAAACCACCCCCGCGTTAAGGCGACGCGATACCCTAGGAAATGGTTGACTCGATCGAGACATCTTTTACAAAAGATATTCAATATAGCGCAAGCTTGCGGGCGCTTAAGGGATATTTCGGGATTTTCAAATGAAATTTACTTTCGCATCACCTCAGGGTCGGAATAGAGACCGTCTCTGTATCGATCGACCGGAAGAATAACCTCGAAATCCCGGCGGGGGTGCGCGCCCTTCCGGTTCCCACGCTAATTACACCCCCGCGGGGTCTCGGTCGGGGGTTGCTGACTTTAACAACGGCGGCATGACGGCGAGCTTCGAAATACGTCACCCCTCGTGGAGGGTGGCTCTTTCGGTGAGAGTCGACGGCCATTGACGGCCGTATCGGGGGTGGAAAAAAAATCGGGCCGTTGAACCCCCGATCCCGACTTCCCGTCTGGCGCTACCCTCTTCTCGAAAGGGTAGTAGGGCGTATAGGGTAGTTCCTGCGCCCAGCTAGCCGGAGGATTATGTCTCCACGTACGTCCTCTCTTGAAGTATACCCGAAGGACCGGGAAGAGAAAGAGGAGCGGGACGGTGCGCAAGGGGATGAGGCCATTCCGCTTTCGCATGCACGCACAACATGGCTGCATTATTGCGGCTTATCCAGTATTACGCTCGTGTGACGCCGGCAGCGTCACGGCGCTCGGGCGCGCCGTGGTGTATCGAACATAGAATTACCCCATAAATTCCCCGGATCGAAGTTCCACGGCACAATGCTCGGGGCGCCATTCAAGCTCCTCCTGCTCTCCTCGACGTCCTCCTCGGCTCGCCTCGGCTTTTTCCCTGGGCCCGCTTTTCCGCTCCTCCACCCTCTCGCGATCGCCACTCCGCGACTTGGCGACTCGGCGCTTCGTGGGAATTCTTTTTTTTCCCCATTTCTTTAACATTTTTTCACGAGCCGATCGCCACTCCGACTTGGCTTTACCGACCGGCAAATTATCAAGTAAATGGCGGCAACGGATATCCCAAAACCGATTAATACGCTTCCGGTCGGTAAAGAGTTAAGCAGGACGCACAAAATCGAGAGTGGGGCATAACAATTAAAACAGGACGCGATGTCATAGTTTATGCAAAATAGCTCTGACATTTCGACTCGGAGGGAAGGTTTTTCGGGGATCTTCTCCTAAGTCGAGCACATCCCGGGTTGCTCTCGAAGACGACGCTTGATATTCCGCCGGTGGTCCCCATTATGGCATTCCGACGTCACCCGGAGAAGGAACGCGCGAAATTCACTCATTCGTCGCCAGGACGTCTAAGGGACGTGTTATCGATGGATTCATTAGGAGTCCCGTCTGCGCTCCTCGGGGACCACCTATCCCGGTCTCGCGGGAGTCCCCCGGAAATCCACCCTCGGCGGTCCTCAGGAGCATGACAATAGGTCGCCCCCCTCGGAGGAATCCCCTGTTCCACTCCAGGATCCCATCTCGTATGGATTTCCACGGCCCCTCCCCTGACCACGTGGGGGTCTCCCCCGGCTCGAATCGCGCGACGAAACGCACCCCCAACCCAGGGGTGGCGCTCGTTAATCGGCGGAAAGTAAATAAGTAAATAAGTAAATAAGTGTAATTTCATATCGCGAGTCGCCGTCGGTGCGTCGGCGTCCGGGTGGTTAACGACGTAACCTCGTTAAACGGCGACGTGATCCGCGTGCAAATCCGCTCCCACCCTGGTGGGAGCGGAAGGGGGAGCGAGAATTAGCGAAAAAGGAGGGAAATGCAACATCGGGGTGTTTCGAGGTATTTCGGAATATTTTGGGGTGTTTCGTGGAGAAGTCGACCACCATTTCGAGACTCCGACTCGTCGATGGTCGAGTCCCTCTTCTGAGGGCCCTTAGCACCCTCCGGGGTCCTCCTCGGAGTCCTCTTTCGGCTCCGCAAAGTGCGACCCCTTTCACGGCGCCGGGCGCAATAATCGGGCCCCTCGCTCGAGGAGGGTTTTCCTTTTTAAAGCGTTATTAATCGCCCCCCGAACACGCGCCGCACGGAAACAATTTTGCGGTCGAGTGGAGGCGCAACAAGTCGCACCCTGGGAGCCTTGTCTCGCCGGGGTTTAGCCGCCCTTGGCGACGATGCGGCCGTGCTCGACTTTTTCTCCCCTCCGCTCCGGAATCGGAATTCACCCCGGAGGAGCCACCGAACGTCGAGGGGCGTCTCGAGCGGGTCCTCTTCGAGATCAAAAAATCCCCCGGATGAGCCATGATAAGGCGACCTGATAAGCCGCGCGCCCATTGACTCTCACGGCAAGGTACGCAATTGCCCAGGAAAAAGTCGCCGTTAGCCCGGATTTGCGTATATAACTGTACATATGTACATCTGTACATAAGTATCCTCACAAGGGGGGGGAGGATCCCTCTTCGAGGCTTCCAGGAGGGACCGGGTGGAGGAACGGTCGCGTTTCCCTTGGAAAATGATATTTCCACGGCGTGAATGAAATGAGTCATCGCGCAGGGGAAGTTGATCCTTTCTCCCCCCATCCCCCGGGACCTCGGGGGCGAATCGCGCCCCCGGCATTTGACTTTTAAGCCCGGTAAGCGGATCGGTCTATCAGCAGGTTCCTAAATGTCTTCCTCGGACGAGTTAGCCGCGGGCCATTTTACTTCGGCTTTCAAAGGACTCGTCCTCGGAGCGCCTCCACCCTCTCCGGGTCGAAAACGAGTCGTCGAGTCCTTGCTGCAGGAGCCGCCTCCCGGACCTGTCCCAATCTGCATGCCGGGATTTGCATCGGACTCGTTAATCCCATGTAAATCTGTCGCAGCTGTCGCGACACACGCAGGCCGGCTGGGGTGGCGCGCCACCCCCCGCGACGCGGATCGACGTCGACGCCGAAGAGGGACCGGCGCCACAGGTCGGGCTCCTCCTCCAGGAGCGACATTGTCCTGGACCCGCAAGAAAGCCCGGAGAAGGCAGGAAAGATTTAATAATGTAGAGAGTCAGGCTAGACGTTGGGTACACATTGGGATTGGTACACACCGCTTTCGGGCGTCTTCAATATCTAAGCAGCTCAGGACTCGCATTGTCTGGGGGGGGTTAAGGCCGTCCGTCCCTTTATGGCGGTTCCCGCCGCCGATGATGGGCATTATGTGCTGGATAATGGTGCCTCCAGTTTGGCGGCCCATTCAGCAGGCCGCGGGGAAAAGAAATTGACTCGGCAAACGTTGGCGTGGAAATTCAATTACGCGGTGGGGCCTGATGGGGCCCACCGGGTTCCACTTGTTACGGGGAGCCCTCTTGATCGCTAGGGGTGTAATTAGAAAAATATGGGGGAAGGAAGGCGCGTCCGGCCACTCCTCCGGAGCCGGGGTCGCGCACAATGCGCGACGCCGTCTGCGGGCGGACGGACGAGTCCTATTTCAATTCCAGCAAGTTAATTGGAATTGTTTGCCGCAGACACCGCGAGAGAGCTTGCCCTCTGCCCCGGCCTCCTGGGCGGGGGCGGGGACGGCGACCGAAACCCAATCCCACCCCCGGATATCTTCTTGAGTGGAATTAATTTCGCCCGGGCGGCGCCACCCCGCGGAGAGGAGACTCCACGGAGTCCTTCGGCCGAAGGTCCTCCGACAGGTACGCGAAGAGGTTTCCGAGATGGTCATTGGTACGTTCTTTAGATCATGGCCAGGAGGAAGATCGGAAGGTGATTCTGCTTCTTCTGGATCGTGAGGTGGTGGAGGTTGGGGGCGGAAGTTCCTCCAGAATTTGCCCGGTCGCTGTGGTTAGTCCTTCAAAGGTGACGGTGGAGTCCGCCTTGACGAAGTTTGGTTACTAGTGGAATTAATTCCACCGGTGACCCCAGACTACCTCAGATCCTCCGTCAGATAGACGAAGAGGTCCCTGAGGAGCTCCAACGCGAAGGTCACTTCGATTCCTTGTTCCCTCGCCCAGAAGTAGTGGCGGTGTAAGGTCGCGTTTCCTTCGACGGCTGCGCACAGTTCGGCGAAGTATTCCGAGCCCAGAACCCGGAGAAGGGACCGGAAGCTGCGAGAGTGTCTCTTCTTCTGGACCAGGAGTTCGTGCAGCTCTTCCAGGGGCAGCTCCTTCAGGATCCGGCTGACCATCATGGTCAAACCTCCACAGGCGATGGACGGATCTGCCCTGACGAATTTTGGCTTCGATGCCCAAGCATCTTCGATCCTGCTCTGCCATCGCTCCACCTGGAGGCCGTTGCATCGTAGCAGGCTCGTCAGGAACTGCATCCAGAACATGTTCCGGAACTCCTGCAACAGGAAGCGCTTCTGGTCCTCGATGAAGTCCACCGTGTCCGCGATCTGCTCGTCGTACATCAGGTAGTCCTTCAGGATGCGAGTAACCTCGTCGAGGGGCACGAACGCGACGATGTCTTCCAGGTCCTCTTCCAGGGAACTCTGGTCCTCGACCGAGGACTGCACCTCGACGCAGTCCCCGGGTTCGTCACTTCGATGTGCTATGAAGCTCATCAGACAAATCGACGCCACAGCGACTCCTAGAACGACCAGGGCGCCATTCATCTTCCTGAACCAAAAAGAAATTACATTTAGCTCGGTCCGGAAAATACCCCGAAGAGTCCACGAAGCTCTTACTCGAAGACTTCGACCGGGAACCCTTAGCTTCTTCGGTATCGAGGAGGAAGGCCGAATGTGGGTAGATGAAGAAAACTCACGAAGAAAGCAGGCCCTGTCTCGAAATCACCATAGACATTTTTTCGGTACATCTTCCCACCCTTCTTGGTCGGTATAGGTTACCTTGAGTAACTCGTGGGATCGTTAGCATGATTGACTCATTTTTGCAGGAAATTTTGAATGACTTTTGCCAGGGAACTTCGAAAAAGGGCCGAACGATGATCATGACGCGGAGGTACCGGACCTTCCGGTTACATTTTCCGAATTTTCATGGTAGACCGAATCGAGTGGTGACAACTGTCATGGCCGACTTCTCGGGGTGAAACAAAGGAAGGTGAGGCGAAAAAAACAATTAGGGCGGGATTTTAATTATCAAAAAAATATTTATTATTGGGTTGTAAAGAGTGCGAAGCAGGGGCGAGGCGAAGGGTAGACTTGAGATGATATTTAAATTATCAAAAATATATTTATTATTTGGTTAGCGGCGAGAACAGAGTGGCAAGGAACCGAAGGTCAGATTTAGTTGGTCGTGATGCCGAAGAGCGTGTAGAGGAGGTCGATGACGGCGACGAGGTCGACACCGGCCTCTTCGGCCTTAACAAGAAGCGAGATGAAGATCTCGTTCTCGAGGAGGGCGTCAACGATGGCCTGGAAGTCCGGAGACTTCATCTGCTCGACCAGGTCGACGAATGCCTCCGAGGTCTTCAGCTTCTGGTCGTAGAGGGCGGCGATCTCATCAAGGGGCAGGAGAGCCTTGACGTCAGCGAGGAGTCCTGAGAACCCTCCGGTGATCTGCCTCGAAGAGACGACGTTCCTGTTGACGGGGTAGATCTGTTCGATCCCGAGGTACCTATAGAGCCTGTTGATCCAGAAGTACACGTCCATCCCGGCGTTGTTGAGGTAGTGGACGAAGTTGACGAACTCGGGGATCTCGCTGATGGAAACGACGAGGTCCTTGAACTCCTGGGACTTCAGATAGAGGAGAGTATGCTGGACCTCCTTGTCGGAGACCACGTAGTCGATGACGAGGGGGAAGATCTTGTCGGAAGGGACGAGGTCCAGGAACTCCTTGAGGTCCTCTGCTAAGGGACCCGAGGAGGACCTCTTCGGCCTGGAGATGTTGATGCCCAACACGGTCTTCAGCAAATCGGCGACACCCTTGAGGTCGATGCCGAATTTCTCGATCTCGTCCAGCAGGTGTAGGAAGCTCTTGTTGGCCATGAGAGTATCGACCAGACGTTGGAACATGGGGGAGCTCAGGGTGTGGATCAGCTCGGCGAAGGCCTTCGAGGTCTGCATTTTGTGCTTGGCGAGGGCCTCCAGCTTGGCCAAGGGGATGATGGCCTTGATGTCGAAGATCATGCCAGCGAACCCACCACCGCTGATCTTCGCGACCCTGACGGGGGCCTTGAAATTGCCGGGTCTGTTAATTGGCTCCATGCCAAGGATTTCGTGCACCTTGTTCAGCCAGAAGTAGGGGTTAACTCCGGCGTGGTAGAGGTACTCCAGGAGTTCGCCGGTTTCAGGGGTAGCTTCGATGTCGCGGACCAGCTGGTGGAACTCCTGAGACTGCAGGTATTCGAAAGCTTGCTGCACCTGTGCGTCCTTGCTCAGGTAGGTCAGCACGACGTCGACGATTTCCTCAATGGGGATCAGGTCCAGGAACTCCTGCAAGTCGTTGGCCAGGTCGGAGGCCCTGATGGACCTTGTTGACTTATCTGGGAAATTCAGACCGAAGACCGTGTTCAGAAAGTCGGCGACGGCCTGGACGTCGATCCCGTGCTGTTCCGCTGTCAAAATGATGTGCTGGAACTCCGGGTTGGCCTCCAGGGCATCGACGATCTTCTGGAACTCAGGGGACTCGATCACCTTGATGAATTCGGCGAAGGCCTTCGAGGTCTTCAGCTTCTCCTGGTAGAGGGCTCTGATTTCTTGAATGGGCAGCACGTTCTTGATGTCCTCCAGGAGCCCGGTGAGTCCTCCAGTGATCCTAGGCTGGATCTTTCTGCCCGAAGGAGGCTTCAGTCCCTCCAGTCCCAGGATTTCATGGATCTGGTTGATTCCCGTGTAAACGTCTATCCCGGCGAAGTGCAGGTAGTTCAGGAAGTCGATGTACTCGGGGAGGGCGTCGACGGCCAGGATGAGCTTCTTGAATTCCTCCGACTGGAGGTACTTGATCGTCGCCTGGAACTCGGCGTCGTTGGCGGCATAGTCGTGGACGATCTCTATAACCTTGTCCTGAGGGATCAGGGCGATGAAGTCTAGGAAGTCATCCTCAAGGGACCTCGAGGTGTCCTGGATTTTGTAGGAGAACGAAGTTTGGGTCACGGCCAGAGCGGCCACCAGTGCCAGCAGGAGCTTCATCTGCGAGACAAAGACAACGTCACCGACCTCGTCAAGAACGCCTTCACCGTCAGCACCTCTTACAAGGCGTTTCGCAATTACCGAACAAGTGCGCTGGCGGATACTCACCCTGTAGCTGTTGTCCACCCGACGAAGTACCGAGCCAGTGGAGTAGTCGTTTATATACCGAAGACTCGGTTGAATTATCAATCCACGGTCGGCGCACCTGATGATCGGATACTGTCCGGTCGATCTCCGATAGACTGTCAGTCAAGTGATAAGATTAGTGTTTCTATGCGTGAAAGAAACCGCGGCCCAGCTGGCCAGCAACGAGTGATAACCGCACATCCGATCCCACGATTGCAGCCACTCGGATCTGATACCCCACCGATTGGAATCCCGATGATAGCATCTCCCCGATATTCCAAAATACCAAATAAAAATCCTCGCCAGGAATATCAAGATCGCCTTCGGCTCATGAATTTTGACTAGAGGACCTAGTGACCCGCTTTCCCCCGGCGGATTTAAATCCAGCCTTTCCGACATTGGGCAACCGCATTATCGCCGGTATTTCAAGAAACAAGGGTCGTGATTACATCTTTCGCGGAATACAGGGAGTTTCCAGGCCGAACTTTAGATTCGATCGGGCATCGATCAGCGGCTAATCAGTAGCGTGATAAATCTCAACATCCTCGTCCAAAGTCAACGCGCTTCCCCGGGGGGAAACGATCGCGGAGACGCCATCTTGGGGCGGTCGGCGGCCATCCTGGAGAACGGGGTAAAGTTGGGGAATTAAATGGCGTCGGTTTCGGCGTCTCTTCGGGGCTGGACCCACCCCAGGCATCGTCTCCAGATCCTTAGGCCGGCAAGTTGGGCTCGCGGGACCGAAACTCGGAAAGTTTCCGCCAATTGGAGGCGAAAGCAAAGGGCGCCGCGTGCTGCGAATGGCCTGGCTGCTCGATAAATAAGAAGAGGCGATGTTCGAACAGGTGGCGCTAACTTTTAAAAGGAAAGTAAGGACTGGCTGGGAGCACCTACGGGGTCGGTGCGGGCTGCGTCTTCGGGTGCCTCTTCGGGGAGGATCCTCCGGGAGGCGGGGGAGTTCTAATTAAAATTGTTATAATTTAATAAGCCTGGGGAATTTCGCCGGCTCGGCGGAACTCGAAGACACTTTATCGCCCTGGCAATGCGACCATGAAGAATCGGCTTTGAGCCCGGTCTCTCTCCTCTCTCTCTCCCGGTGCTCTTAACTTTTCCACTCAATATGGAACACACCGGGGAAGCGGTACCAAGCCCGGCTACCGAAGAGCCACCTCTCTCGCAGAAGGCTTAATGCAATTTCAGCCCCGCGAAGAAGCCTTCGGGAGGTGAACGGACCCTGGACCCGGAGCTGCTCTTTATTATGAATTCCAAATGACGTTACGCCACTCCCTCCGGCTTCGCCTTTAAGGCGAGACCGGCGATTTTCGCGACTCCACCCTGCCCGCTATATTGCTTTTCCCTTTGACCCCGCCACCGGGGACGGCTACTTCCGACACGTAATCTAGAGCTATCGAGGGACAGTGCGCAACTTTATTTAGAGACCCCCGGATAGTCGCGAGGAAGAGGAGGACCGGCTCTCTGGAACTCGCAGAGCCCCCGAAGAGCAGGGACCACTTTGGAATCGCCTTAGAAATTTCGCCTTCGCCCAAACGATCGATATCCCCACCTCGGGTGACCTTGCCGAAATCTCTTATCGAGCCGCATCTAATATCTCATGATCGCGCGATAACGCTGCGCTCTATTCCGAGATCTCGATGAATTATCTTCAAATTCGGAAGACTCTCTATCTGGGGAATTCGATATAAATTTGATATTAATTTCGAGCCAGAAAGGAGAGACTGTTCGTAGGGTTCCTGACAGGTTCCTGGGAGGCTCTTCAGGGTCGACCGAGAAGCGAGGGCAAAATCGGAAAGTCTCGCAGTTTTAAGATTAGGACCAAGACTTGAATCTTACCATTTTGCCCATCGCCCCCGACCCTCTTCAGGGTCTCTGCAATCTTATCGCCATCGGAAGAGGGACCCGGGCCGGCGAGTCGCGAAGTTTCGATCGTGGAACTTTAACTCGGGCTTCGATCCGGCCTCCTAATTCCCGAAGAACACCAGCCGAGCTTCGAAATTGGCGGGGGTGAATCGTATCAAATTATTTCATGTGAACGCGTGGACGAACTTTTACCGATATTGCGGAGCGACACGTGGCGTTAACGGCACGCGGCCGTGGGTCGTTGGGGCGGTAATGGCTTCTGCGGATCCTTCGGCGCGAAAGGGGTGGGTGGGGGGGTCGCCCCCGATTGTCGCGAAAGAGTCGTCATCGCGGAGTTTAGCCGCGATCGGGAAGTTCCCCGGAAGCCGCGGCCTAAGGGTGGCCTCGGCCAATCGGAGGGTGGCCGCCCCCTGCGGTGCCGCTGCGGGGGGTCCGCGAGGAAAGAGGTCGCCGCGGTCCGCGGCGTCCCGGAAAGGGACAGCCGTAACAAATCCTCGGCGAGCAATCGAGGTCGCGCCTCCGCCGGGTTTCACCCCGGACACTTAACTCTATTGCGATTGGATCCTCCACCCCTTCCGGAGCTCCTTCTGGGCCACCCTCGAGGGCGCCCCAGACGCGCCCTTCGGCTCGGCGCGGCTTCCTACGCGCGGAAACCTTATTACAAGCGACGCGATAAAACACCCCTCCGGGGGTGGTTCCAGGAAAGGGAGACCGCCGTTTCCGCGGCGCGCTCCGGACCAGCCCGGGTGGACGCCTTCGGGGGCGAACAAAGCGAAACTTCCGCGAAGTGGCGGACCCACTTCAGAGATTTATTAGTGATATACCGTCTTCGGGGAGGCCACCCCTTCGCGGATACCGCCCCGATGCGAGAAATCGATCCCGGATACGAATCCCGGTCTAGGGGCGCTCGGATCGCCGCCGGTTTTCCCGCAACCCTTGGGGAAGAGAACATTTTGGAGTCGACCGATCCTCTGGAACAATTTATGTCGGGAGGATCGAGGTCTCGGGTCTATGTTGCGGGTACTGGGCGTCCTAACCCTGCAGACAGGGGAGTATTCCCCGAAAATAGGAGAAACTCGGTCGAAAATAATTCCAGAAAAATGAAATCATCCCGATCGAGGTCTGGAATCGATTTCATGGATCCGGGGTGAGCGCGTCCTGCAGTTCGAGGACCACCCTCGAGCCGGGGATGCAGCCTCCCCGCGTTTCCGGCAGAAACGTCAAATCGCGGCGCGGCCGGGGTTGCGGGTCGCAACCCCCGGAGGAAGAGGGCCGGGGCCGCCGGCAGCTCTCGCGGTCGTTTATATTTCACCGTGGAGGGTTGCCGGTTGACAGACGAGTGATGTGGTCGGCTCGTCCCCTCTCGCATCCGGCTCGTCGCCAAACAAGCCGAAGCCGTGTTTGCACGAGGCCGCCGCGCTCTGCGAGGTGCGTAGGTGGCGAGCCCGGAAGGGTGACTGGCTAATGGCGGCCTGCATCGCTAAACGCCTCGCGGACCGGAAACGCCGGCCGCCCTTAACCACCCTTAACCACCCTGGCCGACCCTTATCCCGGTGGAAACTTCGTTTGGGACCCAATTACCGAGTCCCTAGGGACCGATTTCCCGCGACTGATAAACGCCCCCGCGGCAGCGTCGGCGACTATCACCAGAAATTTCGGAATCCCGACTGCCAAACTCCACTGGACTCTGCGTGAGTGTCGCGGAAAATTTTCAAACTCGACAAGAACTACTCATAAAAAATTCGAGCGGTCGCCCCTTTCCGAATTCCCATATTGCCGGCGCCATCACTCCGGTCAGGTTTTTTGATAATTCATTCGATAAGAGATCCGGGTCACTCCGTTTGCCAGCGCCGCCGATATCTCGCGGAAGTCTGTGGCATTAGAATCGAGGGAATTAGGCTTGATAAGGGGAAGGGCCTTGTGTCGTTATCAGGAGGGCTATCGGACCCGGCGAAGTCTCATAATGGGTCCGAGGCTGCAACCGCTGATTAGGATCGAGGGACCCGCGACAACGGGGTGGTTACATTAATACTAATGCGTTACACCTCGCGGCGGAGGTAACAGGATAATCGATGCAACCCCCACCCCCCATGGGGCTCCACCCCCTGGCCGTATGTATTTCCCTCTGTCGCGGCGCGATAACGAGCAAACTTTCGGCTTCGGGCCACTCGAGCAAAGTAATTATGCTCTCGTATTCCGTTAGTCTAGTTACATTAATTAACGACGCAACGAGCGGCGAAACCTTAAGTTGGGGGATGCCTGGTCGGGAGCAAGGATCCGCCATTGTCGGGCGTTGCTCGCTTTGTGGCCCCCATCCCCCCCGGGGGGTTGTCGCGCCCCCGGCTCGGATTATAGGTGATAATCCGAAATCGCGACTTGGGCGCCGTTAGTCACCCCCGACACCCCTCGGCCCTTAAAGGGGAAAATAATTAAACACCGGGATTCGTTTCAAGCGTGATTTTCGCGGGGTGGTGCAACCACCCTCTAAATCGGGGTAGCATCCCTTAATCGTTTCTCGGTCACTTCCAGAAGGTGGAGGGAGGAGAGGGGGCGCGTGGGTGGCCGGCCGCCATTTCGTTATCCCGCAGGAAACCCCCGATAAATCAGGCTCGGAACCTCCGTGGGGAGGGGGAGCAATGAGAAGATCGTTTTCCTGATTTTCCGAGGAGATCTATTGGGGCAGCCAGCGACGCCGGCGACGTCGTCGCCGCAGATTCCCCAACGGGTGGAGGGACTGACTTAAGGGCGGCGGGACATTAACGATGCAATTTCCAAATGCGGCGCATCCCCCTGGCCCCGATTCACGAGGACGGTCACAATTAAATTGCGAGCCGCCCCTACCCCCTTCGGCTGGGATTTAAGTGCGTCCCTGGGAACCGCGATTCGCGAGCCACCCACTTCCTCCCCCTTCGTTCGTTCCTTCGGGTACGTTCTGATGGAAAATAAGGTATAGGCAGGAAAAAGGGAGGAAAGTCTCTTCGTAGGCATCGGACGGCCCT